GAGAGCTCCTGTGTATTGTTTATTTCATTTTGGTTTGTTTTAAAAGATGTAAACATATATTAAGCTATGTTAAATCTCACATATAGTTCTCCTGGGCTCTCTTCTGCCCTGATAGAGATGGGGAAGAGAAAGGAATGTTTTTGGATGGTGGTGTCAAAGCCTGGACAGTGACCAGCTCGAGCCCACAGGGAGTTGCTGTCCGTATTTGCACCTGGCGGGTCACGGCCTTTGTTACTAATGGTGACATTTAGTTCTCTTTTGTTTTTATTTTTTAAAAACTCAGGTGTAATTATTATCTGTTCTTATGATAATTTCAAATACGATGCTCTATCAATTTGTGTGTTTGGCACACCAGCGAAGTGATGAAGAACAGTGGATTAATTTAATTTATCTTCGGTAACTTGACATGCTGGGGAGAGACTATCTTTTGGAGTTGAGTACAAGCACAGCAACATCTTCATGGTGGCATCATCTCATTTTTTTTAGGAAGACATGACAATGCTGCCCATCATACTCATGCCTCTCTACTGCTCTCTCTTTTTCCTCTGCTTCCCTGGCCATGAGGAACTTTGAACCAGGCCAGCTCCAACTGCAATGCCAAATGGCCTTGTCCAAGGATGTGGTGGTGGTCCCATGTCGGTGGGGGTTGGACCCTTTCAACAGGACAACTGGCATTTTTGCTGGGAAGTCAGATAAGAATACATTCCACCCAGCAGCTCCAGGCAGTCAGTCAATAGGTTGCCTGGCCCAGTGACGACCCCGTCAGTACCGGAAGCACCATGCTTGCTGGGACGCCTCCTCCTTGGGGCTGGAGCTGGTCAAGCTCTCACACTGGCGGATTCAAATCCCATGTTGTCTATAGGAAAAGGCTTGTGTGTTCCTTGAGTATTCATTGCTTCATTTTAGTTTTCACAAGCGTTTGGAAGCGGCACACTGTTACATTTCTGCTGATTCTAATCTTTCCAGCTCTCGCTCTCTCTCTCTCTCTCTCTCTCTCTCTGAAAAGAAAAATGGAGTGTAAAAAAAAAAAGCCAAAACACATATGAAGGATAGCTGTCCTCCTGTGTTCTCTCATGATGGAAGTAAGAAACCTTGTGGAGTGGAAACATTACTTTTTCCTCCAAAGGTGAAAAAAATCAATGCATTCTTGCTTTAAGGAAAAACAGAAGAAAGCTAAAAAAGAAATTACCTCTTTTTAAATTATGTGCAAAATAATTCTGGCTAAATAGAAAATGTATTCAATTTAAAGGATTTTCTTTTTTTTTTTTTTGTATTGTGATGCTTTAATTTGTACATTTTTTCCCCTTTCTGGATGTAATTTTAATCTCTTGCCATTCATTAGTGTTATTTCATTGTAAACATTATTGTGCCAAATGTACTGTATTCAAAAGGATGTGAATGTGTATGTTTTCCGAACCTAATAAATACAATGATGTTAAATCTTATTTCTCCGTCTCAGTGAACATTTTTGTCTCCCCTGTGAGTGGCAAGGTGGTACCAGTGGAAACCTAGACATAGTTTCCACTTTCCCCTTGTCCTTTGATGATGCACAAAGGAGGCCAGTAACCTGATTTGCTCACTCCCCTTGCCCACCTCAAGCCTCGCCTCTGCTGGATAAAGGGGCCTGCGTGGGCTGGATGTGGCGCTGGCTGCCTCGGAAGGAGCTGCTTGGGACACAGGCAAGCAAAGCAGGCAGCACCCTGGTTCTGTCTTCTCCAGAACCAGGGCTGGACCTCCTTGCAACCGATGCTCAGTCAAGCCTCTTCAGGACTCAGTCTCTGACCTGCTACTCAGAACCTGGCGGCCAAGAAACTCCTCCCAGGCTGAGAGCCCCTTGCAGGCTGGGCGGGGAGTACAGACTGGCCCGTGGGGTTTCATAATAAGCTACTGTCCACCTCCCCTCTCAGCCACCTGAGTTCCTCCTTCACTCTGGGACCCCTCCCTCCCTCTGCACTCATGTTGTGCTGGCTCTCCAAGGCTCCTCCTCCTCCTCTTTCTCCAGCATGGATTTTTCAAGAACATTTGAAACTCAAAGGCATACTTGAGTTCACCAGAAATTTCAAGGAACCAAAACTCCCTGTTCGGTAAGAGTGTGGGAATGATTGCAGTTTTACTATGTGTCATTTTCAGAGGACGGGATGACCCAACTTGTCAGCCCACAAAGTCACTGCTTCATACGCCTGCCGCTGGCTTTGGCATGTATATCATCCTGCAGGCGCTTTCCTCTCAGTCTTCGCCTCCCAGCAGCGTGGCCTGGCTCCCTCCAGACGTGAGCATGGACCTCAGACCCACCTCACGAAGAAGGTTGTGCTTATCACAGAGTTTAATAAACCTCTTGGATCGGGCAGCTGTTTCTAGGGAAGTGACCGCCCCAGGAGAAGCAAGCTTCCCATCAGTGTGTCTGTCTTACCACGAATTTATGTGAAAGTCAGGGGAAGCAAATTAAAAGGAGCTGTTCTGACAAGGCCAGAAGACGGCTCTGGGCATTTCACTGAGTGAAAAATGCCCCGTCTACACCTCTCTCGCCCAGTGGCCCAGAGACCCGCTCCAAAGTCCTGGCGATACGAGAACTTGTCCTCCCAAATCCATGTGCTCCACGAATCACACCAAAGCTGTAAGAAAGGCCAATTGCTCATTAGCATCCCTGGTTTGAATTTTCTCCCCCGACCTCAACCACGTCCTAGGCACTGGCAGGTCTGTTCCAGGGAAGCCCTGGCCACTGGTCCCTGGCAAGGGATGCTGCTTTAAGAAAGCCTGTCTGTGTGGCTGTGCCCTGAGCTGAGAAACAGCAGAGGGAATCTGTAGGAAGAATGTCCCTTCTCTATGTCCTTGCACCCGAGGACAGTCCCGTACGTGGCTTACCAGCACCTAAAGTTCTCATGCAATAAAATAACAGGAGGCATGTGCCGTCCTGGCGCTTACCATGGCAAAGAGGTGGATTGGAAAGAAGGCTTAGAAGCCACATTATGAATTCTGTTTTTCAATGTAAAGCACTTTAGCCTAGATCAGTGATGGCGAACCTATGACACGCGTGTCAGAGGTGACACGCGAACTCATTTTTTTGGTTGACTTTTCTTTGTTAAATGGCATTTAAATATATAAAATAAATATCAAAAATATAAATCTTTGTTTTACTATGGTTGCAAATATCAGAAAATTTCATATATGTGACACGGCACCAGAGTTAAGTTAGGGTTTTTCAAAATGCTGACACGCCGAGCTCAAAAGGTTTGCCATCACTGGCCTAGATAATGGTACTACCTTCATGGTATGTTAGTTTTAAGCTAAATCTAAGGTGACCAGCGGTGGTGATCAGGAGTCCAGCCTCCAGGAATGGACAGCTGGTTGAATAAATAGCATTTATTCAGAAGGCAAGAGCTTCAGCTCTTTGATGTCCCATCAGCACTTGCGGGGAGGGGTTGTTATTAGCATAAATAATTCTATGAAAGGCGTTCCTCAAGGAAAGTGGTCTGGCATGTTCATTAGCATAAAGGAAGTCAGAAAGGTGATAAGAATGGTACTTGAGATGAGTAGATTGGCAAAGATATTTTAATCACATTTAAAAATACACGGACTATGAGAACTTCAACTTCCCTACTAATCAGGGAAATCAAAATTTAAATCAAACCTCATTACCACATCACAGCCACCAGAATGACTCCAAAGAAAAGGCAGACACAGCAAGTTTGGAACTTACAGTGTTTCTGGTTGGAGTATAAAATGGTGCAACCACTTTGAAAAACTTGGGAAGTGTCTACTATAGTCATATGTGCAGACCCTGTACTCAGCCGAAAATTCCATCAGCGGCAGAATAGGCCAATGTGGACTCTTTCTGCAAGAGAGCCCATGTTGCAGTGAGAATGAATGGTTTCCAGTTACATACAACGACAGGCGAATCTCACAATGTGATGGTGAGTTGAAGAATCCAGGCACAATGGGGAACAGACTAATTCCAGTTACATCAAGTAAAAACAGGCCATCTGTGCTGCCTGAAATAGGCCAGTGGTTGCCCTTTTGGGGGTGGAGAGGTGGTGACGTGGCGTGGGCACCAAAGGGCTTCTGGGGTGCTGGTTTGGTTTTCTGAGCTGGGACCTGGCAAAAAGGTATG